TTTCTTCTCCCGTTAGTCAGCTCCTTAGACTCCTCTTTCTTCATACATCCTCATTTCATTTTCGATAGGTACAATCAGGATTAATAGTATCTGAAATCTTAATGTTGGGATCCCCAGAATAGAAGCATGGGAAAGATGAGACACATGCATTAACGAATCATTTAGATATAAATTTCTTGTCATTATATAGTTTGTTTTCTTGGTTTTTGATCTTCATAAGGAAAAATAATGTCGTAAGCTCATAAAAATATTCTACTTAAAAATGCTTATTTCTGAGAAGCAAATATAAGACACACATACGGCAGTCTGTTCTTTGATTTGGATAGAATTTACAGATATATTTCAGGCATATTTCTGTTTCTGCATTTGCCAACCCTGGAGTTGTCAGGAGCTGTATGACAGGTTAATTTGTTAGCTGCTGCTTATATTCCAGCAACCACAGCTGAGCTGCTGTGCATACATTTCTGTTTTGTTGTGGGCTTCCACCTTAGTTAGTTTGGGTGCCTGTATTTAAGATAGTTCAAAGCACTACACTATGATAGAATCCTTCCTCTGGATGAGGTGTCCTTTTGGGAGTGGGAGATACAGTGATGATAATATTTATCTTCTTCAGTTTGATACCATGGAGGGACAGTGATAACAACAACAACAACAACAACAACAAAGACAGAAAAGCAAAGAAAAAAGTTCAGTGTCAAAGGAGAACAGGGTGAAAAAAACCAAAAGGAAAGGATTGAAAGAAAAGCATGACAAGAAGGTGGTAGATAGGGTTTTTGTCCTGATGTGAATTTGCACAACTTATGTAACTTTTATTCCTACTTGGTAGGTGACTTATTCATATTCCCTGCCCTAGGGGGAAAAATGAGAGAAATTCAAATAGAAAAAAAAGCAATGAACTCTTCTTTTTTTATTCTGTGGTACAATTCTTGCAGTTAAAATGCTGAACTTTCTACATCTTTGCCCCTTATTTCATAGTTGTTCAGATCAATACAAATTATACAGCTGATAAAGTATCCTCCGTAGATGTAGTTTCAGAGTTATCTAAAAGCCTGTAGCAAGAGATTTTATGTTTGATGAAATATTCCATGTCTTCTAAGAAGAGTCACTAAGTTCTACAAGTTTCAAGGGTTTCTTCTGAAGAAAAGGAGTACTTCTCTAAAGAATTGTGTTGTTCACGTGTGTTTTTTCACCCACCTGTTCACTCATTTAGTCAGTCAACAGATGTATTAAATGCCTGTTCTATGTCATACACTGTGCTGAAAACACAAAGACATTCTGCTCACATGCATTCAAGGTGGTGGAGTCGGCACAGCACTATGTGGGGATGTCAGTGTTCTGATGAAGTTTGTAGGACTTGTGGTCTATGAAAGAGGACCCAAGAGACATTGAACACAAACAATAGGATAGAGGACAGCTTCCCAGAAGAGGTAACACTTTTGCAAGATCTTTAAGTACTCCTGAGAAGAAGTTGGAATTAATTAAGTTTAAAAAAGGGATGGAGGTTTATTCTTGAAATAGGGGATGCTGTCTGTAAAGCCAGTACCAAAAGAAGGTTATTGTTGATGTGTTGGATTTTTTAAATAATCAGAATTATTCCTTGTCTTTCTCAACTCTGTGCCAGTCATTTAGTGACAGATTTCTTTTCTTCAAGTATAGTATTTATTTCTTCCTTTTTTTTCCTTAACTTGTCAGACTGAAATGAAATACATACACACACATATACACATGCACACACATACATATATACAAACATGCATATACATATATGCACATGCATGTATATACATACATGCTTGTATTTACATATGTATATGTGAATAAATATATGTTTTACATATGTAAATATGTATATTTGCCTTATATAAGCTTTTATTACAAAATAAATCATAGAGGGGCTCAACTTAGGAAGTATGAAGTGTTGTCGTTTACTCCAAACTTTTCTTGCCACAGCGTGTTGAGATTTGTCTGTCAGATTTTTTTTTTTTGAGACAGAGTCTCACTGTGTTGCC